TTTTGAGTTTTCTTTTTAATAAGGCTCATAGGCGGGCTGAGGGATGAATGCTAGTTAGTTAATCTGGGTGAATCTCCAGTGGATAAAAACCTCCTGGTGCTGAATTCTTCAAACCTAGCAAGACATAAGACTCCCTGACCAATTCCTTGAAAACTTATGAACTTTTCATTATTTCAGAGTTGCATTTTTTGCTTACTGATGATTTTTGTTGTTTTCACTTACAATTGCTATTGTCTCTAAAAGAGTTTTAAAAAACTACAATCAACACATGAAGACTCCTGTGGAACTGACATACATCCATGCATGTGAGAGCTAGTTACTACAAACTTCAAAACCAATTCTGACAAGGAGCTATTACAGTGAGGTATATAACAGCTAACACTTCCTCTCTAGCAGAAACAAAACACCTGAAGAGTCTTTATTAAATTACTCTCCTGTGTAAAATTATATATCTTTGCTATTCAGACAATGTGGGTTTTTTTCCCTGCTCTTTGGTTTTGTCAAAACTTGAAAATCTTTCAGATAGGAGACAAAATTATAATCTTGTGAAAATTCAGGCATGAGGAACTGAGCTAATGCAATTTTTATGATTCTATTTACTGATGATGGGTCTTTACTACTTGACATTTTTCTCTGCCACATGTATCCCAGCATTTATCTAACTCTCCCTGCAAATGCAATCACATTCCAAAACAGCACAGACGCCAAAAGTATTTCCATATACGTCTTGAGGTGGTCTTCCAAGGGAAGCAAATATTTCGCAGATGCAGAAAAAACCGCAATGGAAATATATCTCAATTTTTAACCTCTTTTAATATGAAAGTCATGCAAATTTGATTAAAACAGAGATTTAAACCAAGACTGAACTGCACACTGAAGAATAGCTGTGTATAATCTGCAAGTGGCTTTCCACAGCAGTATGCTCTTGCACAGTCCTCCAGCACCCTCTGCTGCTTAATTGATTGCCATATTTTTTGTATTTGTATGGAGCTTTAAGTCCTTTTTTACTTCTGTTTTGATGAGAAAAAATTATGTATATTAAAATTGCATCTACAGCAATTAAATGATTCCTTGAATTGATAAACAGTGTATGTAAAGTTCCACATAATTATTGTCCTTCATTTTCTCAAGGAATGACAGGAAGATATCAGACTGTCCTGCTTGCTTACTGGTGACTTGCAGTGCTTATTTTCTGCCACTACTATTTGACTTGGTTTAACAGAAATGTATCTGTTGCTTAAGCTGACATTTTCTGGTTATGCAATTTTATTTCATAAGAATTATTTCATAGAATCAAAGAATCATTTAGGTTGGAAAGATCACTGAGTCCAACCATTAAACTAACAATACCAAGTCCACCACCAAATCACATCCCTACATGCCTTCTAAATACTTTCAGAGATGGTGACTCAACCATTGTTCTGGGCAGCCTGTTCCTATGCTTGACCACCCTTTCCATGAAGAAATTTTTCCTAGTGTCCAATCTAAAAGTCCCCTGGCACCACTTCAGGTTGTTTCCTCTTGTGCTATCTCTTATTATTTGGGAGAAGAGGCCAACCCTTACCAGCTGCAACCTCCTTTCAGGTAGTTGTAGAGAGCGATAGGGTTTCCTCTGAGCCCCCTTTTCTTCAGGCTAACAAATACCAATTTCCTCAGCTGCTTCTCATATGACTTGTGCTCCAGACCCTTCACCAGCTGCTTCCCTGAACATGCTCCAAAACCTCAATGCCCTTCTTGAAGTGAGGAGCCCAAAACTGAACACAGGATTCAAGGTGTGGCCTCACCAGTGCCAAGTACAGAGGGACAATCACTGCCCTAGTCCTGCTGGCCAGCTATTTCTGATATAGGCCAGGATGCCATTGACCTTCTTTGCCACCTCAGCACACCAGTGGCTCACGTTCAGACAACTGTCAACAAATACCCCCAAGTGGGCACCTTTCCAGACACTCAGACTGTAGCACTGCATGGGGTTTTTGTGACTTAAGGGTAGGACCTGGTACTTCACCTTATTGAACCTCATACCATTGACTTCAACCCATCAATCCAGCCTGTCCAGATCCCTCCACAGAGACTTACTACTTTCCAGCAGACCAACACTCCCATCCAGCTTGGTGTCATCTGTAAATTTGCTGAGGGTGAACTTGATCCCCTTGTCTAGATCATTGACCCTTGACTCAATCCCCTTGTCCAGATCCAGGACTGGCCCAGTCAGGGGAACACCACTAATGACCCACTGCCAGCTGGATGTGGCACATCCTTTGCCACCACTCTCTGGGTCCATCCAGCCAGCCAGTTCTTAGCCCAGTGAACAGCGCCCCTCTCCAAGCCATGAGCAGTTTCTCCAGGACAATGCTATGGGAGACAGTGTCAAAGGCATTACTGAAGTCCAGGTAAACAACATCCACAGCCTTTCCCTCATTCACTAAGCAGGTCACCTTGTCATAGAAGCAGATTAGATTGGTCAGGAAGGACCTGCCTTTCATAAACCCTTCATAAATCATGCTGATTCTGCGGTTGTCTTGTATGTGCCAGATGATGGCACTCAAGATTATCTGCTCCATGACCTTTCCCAATACCATGGTCAGACTGACAGGCCTGTAGTTCTCTGGATCCTCTTTCTGACCTTTCTTGTTAACCGGGCATCACATTTGCTAACTTCCAGTCAACTGTGACCTTCCTCTTTGACCAGGACTGCTGGTAAATGATGGCAAGTGGTTCAGTGAGCACTTCCACCAGCTCCTTTGGTAGCCCTCAGTGAATCCCACCCAGGTGCATAGACTTGTGTGTGTCTAAAAGGTGCACCAGGTCACTAACCATTTTCTCTTGGATTATGGGGGCTTCATTCTGCTCTGCACCCCTGTCTCCCCACCCAGAAGGCTGGGTACTCCTCAGGGAACAACTGGCGTTGCTGCTAAAGACTGGGGCAAAGAATGCATTAAATACCTCTGCCTTTTCCTCATCCTTTGCTATCATTTCCCTCCATATCCAATAAATGATGGAGATTTTCCTTAGCCCTCCTTTTGTCACAAATGTATTTATTGAAACATTTTTATTGTCTTTTACATCAGTAGCCAGATTAAGTTCTAGCTGGGCTTTGGCCCTTCTAATTTTCTCACTGCATAACCTCACAACATCCTTGTAGTCCTCCTGCACTTCCTGTCCCTTCTTCAAAAGGTCACCAACTCTCCTTTTTTTCCTGAGTTCTGGAAGTCCAAGGCAGTAGTTCTGCTGAGTCCCTCCTTTCCTTCTCTGAGAATTGCAAACTCAAACATTTTGTGATCACTGTGCCTAAGATCACATTTCATACTGATTTTATATTTTTTATATATATATAAAAATGTCTTCATATAGCTCAATGTACCCTTTATTACCAAGATTTCTTACAGATATCTCTGGAATACTTTCTGTCCAAGATTTTGATCATGTTCATCTATCAATAATGCTGAAGAAAAAAAGTAGCTTGTATGCTTGCATTTTCTAGTTTTTATTGTTGTATTTTCCATCTCTAAGTAGACTTTATAAAGCTTATCCCAGATAGCAGACAAATGTGGATATTCAAACTATGTATTGGTGAAAACACAATATAAATGCAAACACACACACATTCATTAAGGCAGAACTTCTGTAAGTAAGGTATAATGAAGGGAAGGAATTGTCAGAATTATGTGTCAGAAGCATAAAAAACTCAGCATCACACACTGTACTGACTAAAATGGTGATTTGAAGAGCAGTAAAAGTTAAGGGAATATCAACATGTAAGATTATGCTGTTTTCAAGGCATCTCTGATCCACGGGGTATTCTGGAAACCCCAGGTCTATACAGAATGCACCAAACATGGAAAGCTTAGGATTCAATGTGTAATTTTCTCTATAGGTATTTAGAGTATTATATACCCATTTTTTTCTGTTCAGATATTCAGCCATGTGATTATGTCAGTCACGGATGGAATTATCCCAAGAAAATAAGATTATGAAATCTCCATTTGAAATTCTTTAACATTATTGAAAGCACAGGTTTGGGGAATCTTTGTCAAGACATAACTTCCTCCAGTACAAGTGGGATGACTTTCTGAGGGATCTGCATTAATGCTTAGTGCCAGAAGGGATGGTTCCTTTAGGTATGAATTATGCTACACCTACACACATAGTCCAACACTAATAGAACAACTCAGACAAGTCAGGCACTCCTAGTATGTGTTCTTTTATCCTTTGTGAGGACAGTGCTTAGGTCTGAATGCTCTCAAATTGTTTGCTGCTGATCAGGAAAACACACTGCTGGCTCTATTGTCTTCATGCATCTTGTTCCCGAGTAACACCTTAGAAGCAGGACATTGGGCTGGAGGCTAACCACGAGTGAATACTTCTCAGGAGGAAATTACAGAATGACGGTCAGATCCAAAACACTGTAGGCATGTGAAATAAATAGGCGGATTGCACAAGCCCAAAGCTACAGTCAAACAAGAGCCCTCTCAGAGGCTGACAGATTCTGGAGGCACATGGGAGGACCTTCCCCTTTCAGCTGTACCATCCGTCAGGCACTTGAAATCTACGCATGTGCTGACTTTTCCTTACCTGAGCAGTTCAGTATCTCAACTCCTGCTCCAGTCTCACCAGGGAGTCTGCTGCCCCACTGCAGCCAAATCTCACAGTTATGTGTTGCCTGGAAAAGCTTCATACACTGACAGTCCTGTTATCACAAAATATACTGGGACACAGAACAGGAGAAGGCAACACTCATCATCATACCCAGTCCTCCACCACCAGAGACAATCAGAAAAGGAGCAGCAATTCAGGGCATAAAGGACTCCAGTCACAAAAGCTTTCCCACCACTAACAAATGTTAGACCTCCCAAGAATTTCAGAAGGTGCTCAAAAACAAATGCGGCAGTTTATTAAATTTTAGGTTTAGCCATGGTTATTAAATCTACCTCAAGCTGTAGTTCAGGTGCCCATCTTTTAAAATAGAGTGATTAAGATCACCAATTTCATGACTGCATATCAACGATGGTGGAAATAAAAAGATTTATTTAGTAACAACAAAACTTTAAGAAACCAAGTCCTAGTCAGTCAGACTAAGAAGAATTAAATGTGCATTGAAATGAGCAGATCATTATTTGACAAGTCATTTGGCATACTAAATTATCTTCCTGGAATAACAGGTGAGGAAACATAATTTTTAGTCTTGTTCATTTACCCTGTTTACTTCCACGAAAGTTGGCTCCTGAAAAAAGTTTACAAAATTATTTGATACATTTGACAGAACTGTCCTTTCCACCAGCACTGTGTGCATAGACTGTAACTCCAGATGTTACAGAACAGTCCGATATTAACACCTTCTCATGTGTTTTCTTTCCCCGCTCCTACAAATTAGCATTATAGCGATCTCTGTTCTGAAAGTCTCTATAAGCACGTCTTGCATCTGCTTTGCTGTGTGGGATTCTTCCAAAAGGTTCTAGATCATTGAAGCAGGCATCAAAAACTTCATCCACAGCTTTTTCCGCTGTTTCTTTGCTAACTTTTCTAACAGCCAGAATGGAACGAACTGCTCTGTCTCGTACACAAGTCTAAAGTGGGAAATAGATAAAAAAAAATCTGACATTACTAGTATAAATTTTTTCCAGATTTTGTCAAGTAGTAACTCCTACTATATAGGCGATAAATTTGTATCATGGAAGAGTCAAACAGTGCCTGTAATAAGCATTAAAGTATTTTAGTTTCATCCTGTGTTAATTACATGTTTTAGTTTTCCATGTACACCTAGGCCACGTGATAATTAAAAGACATTCCTTAGAACAGGAATTAAAATGCAATTTGGCATTTTTTGTAGGTATCAAGTATTTGTAAAACTTATCCTGGACACAAGAAAACTATGTCAGAAGAAACAGACTTAAATACCAGGTAGTTATTTTCAAATTCAAATGCTATAAAACATAAAGGAATAACTTCTCTATTGGCATTCAATACCTCTCTTTATGGTAACTTTTTCTTAGAGTTTGTCTACAAAAACATAAAAAAAGATGTAAACATCAGCTGCAAGTTACTGCCACTCTAACATGAGCAACTAATTGTGACTGTATCTGTAGGCTTCATTACTATGTACAAAAATTCATTCATGTAAGACTGAATACACATGGTTATTCAGAAATCTTGTCTTTCTGCTTCCTCCAGTTTTCAAAGACTTGTAAATAAAAGAGTGTTATCCACTTATAGTGGATAAAGGATTTCTACTACATTTCCTGCAAACCCTGGGTTTTGTCTAGTTATATTAGCCATCCATTGTTGGTGATATTGCCTTAAAATATTACTAAGTATTCAGAAATTTCACTCCAATAAAAATAACATCCTGGGGAAAAAAAAGTAACATCGGTTATTAAAGGTTAGTTAAAAGAAAACAGCAAGCCCCCTACTTCTTTGTCTGATGTTTTCAGGTATGAAAGCGCAGAAGGCTGAGATCAAGTAGGTAGAGATGGCTCATAAAAATGATTAGAGTTTAACATTTACAGTTTAACTTTACCTGGTGATGCCTTTTCAATCCAAATTTAAATCTGGCTATTTCATTGATCAATGTACAGTCACCACTGAGATTAGCAGCTCGAATCTATTGAGAAAAATACAAAGCCAGAAGATCAGAGAAACATGTAAAAATACAATGTCAACAAAGTTGTAACACTTTTTTCTTCAGTATTTTTCTGGTGACTGCTGGTAGAGAAGATTATTCCCAAGGCCACTTTAATTCCTTAAGTACCTGTTACCCTTTATATGCACCCTCTCAGTCTCAGTGAACTGCAAAATATTACTACAGCAACCTTTAAGTTTTTCCAGGAAGTACATCTCACATATTCCTAAAGCTTAAATGAATGAGCAGTAGAGATCATATGTATGTGTGTATGTGTGTGTATATGTATATGAACATGAAGAACATGGAAAGTAATATTCTCCCCAATCTATATCAGAAGCTGTTACAAGAGTCAGGAAGAAAGGCAGATACCTTTTAAAGACTACAGCTGCAATACCCAGAAGAGCAGTAACCCATCTGTTTTGCAAAAAGCCAAATTTAAATGAGTATGTACGGTTTAGCTTGTTAACTGTTTTGTTCTGTACACTGTAATTTCTTTTGTCTGCCAACTGTTCCATACCCTACCCAGTCTGTCAGGAAACGTAAATAAACCGTGATTTCCTACAATTAAGTACCAGAGTGAGAATAAATGAATGGAAAATATTAAAGGTAAGAATTAAAAAGCTATCAACAAAATATGTAAACACCATATAATAAAGTAAGTATCAAAAGACTTTAGGTAAACACATAATCTCAACAAGAGCAAGAACATGCACAATCTTGTTTTATATATATAGTCTCTAAACTTGTGTTTGAGGCTTGCATGCTTTATTCTGCACTGTGTAAATGCCTAGACAAAAAAATAATAGACAATAGTTAATAATTCTGAATTACTGTATTGGGTTTACATGGCAGAATGTTGGCAGTGAGGTGCCTGCCAGGGTACCTTCTGTGAGACAGGACAAGTGGCTGCCTCCATGTCAGACAGAACCAGCTTTAACTGGTTCTGAAACAGACCTACCACTAGTCAAGGTTGAGACCATTAGTGGCTGGTTGTATCTCTGTGATGACTCGTTTAAGAAAGGATAAAAAGCACTACCGGGCAGCTGTAGACAGAGACAGAGGAGTTAGAAAAATGAGGAAAGCAGCCCCATAGACACCAAGACCAGTGAAGAAGGAGGAGAAGGAGGTGCTCCAGGCATCAGAGAAGCCCCTGCAGTTTGTGAAAGAACATACTAGAGCAGATATCTACAGTCCCAGAAAAACCCCATGACAGAGCAGACAGATGTGCCCTGAAAAAAGCTGCGGCCCATGTGGGAGTAGATTTTGTCAGGCGCTGTGGGCCATGGGGGAGCAATGCTGGAGGAGTCCATCCCCAAAAGATTGTATGCTGTGGAAAGTACTCAAGTGGAAGTAGGTCTTGAAGAATAGCAGCCCAGGGGGAAGACTCACGATAGAGAAGTTCACGAAGGACTGTAACCTGTGGGAGGGATTGCATATTGAATCAGGGGAACAGTGTGAAGTTGAAGGAGCAGTAGAGACAAAGTGTTATGAACTGACCACAGCTCACATTCCCTGTGTCCATGAGCCTCTTGGCAGGTTAGGAGATAGAAGAGCCAGGAATGAAGGAGTGAAGTTGAGCCTGGGAAGAAGTTGAGGGGAGGGGGAAGGTATTTTCAGTTCTATTTTTCACAATCCTACTCTGTCATTAACTGGTAATAAATTAAATTTATCTTCTCCAAGTCAACTGTATTTTTGCCATGACAGCAACTGGTGAATGACCTCCATGTCCTTATCCTGATCCATGAGCTTTTTAATCTTACTTTTGTCCCCTGTACCATTGAGGAGAGGAAGTCAGAGAATGGCTCAGTGGGTTCCTGGTAGCTATACAGAATGGCTTTATTGATACCACATAAGCTTACTTCATTAAGTCTTATCTATAAAAAGATAATAATGACAGTAGCTCATTTCTACAGCAAATATGAATTCAATTAATGAATTAAAATTAATTTTTATGAAATCTGATTTGTTCAGTTCCAAACTGATAATTTTGGTTATCTCACATACTGTTAATAGGTGAAACTTGTGCACATTTAAAGTCTAGATCAAATAAGTTCTCATTAAACATAAACAAACCAACCAAACTACAACCAAAAAAAACCCCAAACAAACTGGAAACAAAGCCATCATAATATTTTTATGTATTTTTTAAAAAAACAGTTAAAAAATACCTAATTCACAAAGTCATGAGTATAAACTTTCATAAGACAAATCATAAGAGTTCTTCTGTGGCCAAAAAATATGGATTATATCAGAAATGAAAGAAAAGCATGTGAACGTGCATCACATACATAAGAGGCATCCTTCACAACCTGTGCTCCATTTAATTCCACCTCCTAAAGCATCAATTATTAAGGCCTTTTAAGTAGAAAATATGCTCTGAAATCATAGAATCATAGAATCATTTGGGTTGGAAGGGACCTTAAAGATCATCTAGTTCCAATTCCCCTGCCATGGGCAGGGACACCTTCCACTAGACCAGGTTGCTCAGAGCCCCATCCAATTGACATGGAGTCATAACTACAGTGTACTATTAGCAATATCATAATTATTCAAAAAATGAATGTTACAGGAAAAGACAAGTTTGTTGTTAACCAAAAAGATCTAAACAAAAATAAGGTTACTGTACTATTGTGAAAACTATTCAACACACCAAGATTTGCATGGGAGAAAAAGAATGCTATAAGCATTTGAATAATGTGTGAATATGTTTTCACTTCTAATTACTCTCATTTGTCAATAACCACTTCTTGCTATGGCTACACTCACAGTGATCATTCTACTTATATGACATTAACTTACTAATATTTGTGAAAACTAAGTATTTGTTTTCTGAATGAAGCTATTTAGGTTGACCTGACAGAAAGAACTAAATGTATTAACAGGATTAAAACACATGAAGTGTGTGTAACAGACTATATAACATGAAGCATCCCTAATAACCAGCAGTAATTAATAAAATGACATTAGAAGCATTTTAACTTACCTCTGAACATGCCAAGTGCTTGACGTTTTTAAACCAGTCAACATGTGCACGGCAGTGATCAAATGCATGAATCAATTCATGTGTGACCACACGGTTCATATGGGATTGTTGACGAATGTTGTTCTGACACAGAACAATCTGCAGAAGAAGAGGTAAAAGAAGTGTTTTAGCACGTTTCAATACTTCTCAGAGAACACACCACCTACAGCATTTAGGGTCTTTAGATCAGTGTTTCTCAACATTAATAGCCTTATCATTTATGTAGTATATTAGTTCCAATATAAAATCACACAGAATATGCTGAGGTGGAAGGGACCCATAAGGATCATCAAGTCCAACTCCTGGCCCTGCACAGGACCATCCCCAAGAGTCACACCATGTGCCTGAGAGTATTGTCCAAATGCTTCTTGAACTCTGTCAGGCTTGGTGCTCTGACCTCGTCTCTGGGGAGCCTGTTCCAGTGCCCAACCACCCTCTCGGTGAAGAAACCTTTTCTAATATCCAACCTAAACCTCCCATGATACAAACTCAGGACAATCCCTTGGGTTCTGTCACTGGTCACCACAGAGAAGAGATCAGTGCCTACCCTTTCTCTTCTCCTCACAAGGAAGTTGTAGATTGCAATGAGGTCTCCCCTCACTACCATGGAACATCTTTCATTTATCTTGTTTTCATGACTAACTCAAATATCAGTGTTGGTAAATTTAAACACTAAAAAAATTGTAGTCCTTCCAAAGGGGGATATCTCCAACACCTACCTGAGATGTGGCAGCATCAAAACCTCCACTGACACAGCCATCGCAGTTTTCACAAGAAAAGTGCCGGTCGTTGAAGACAGTGCTGAAAGGTACAAACAAACAAAGTTAGAGAAAAGAATCTGAAAAACATCAGTCACTACTTACAGTAGTGATGTTACTACACAGATCAAGATAAATTAGTTTACATACCAACCAGACTGCTTCATAGCCTCAAGGAGTAGTTGAGCATATGGATCTAGAAAAACATTGCTGCAATCAATTTCTCTAAATCTCTACATTCAAAACAAAAGTTCTGAAAGTCATCTATAATCAAAACATAAACACAGTTAAAGAAAAAAAACAAACAAGAAAAGCACTGTACATGCAAATTCATACTTTGCAGTATTTAACCCCAATACAATGCAATTGGCATCTGTTACAGTTCTGACTATGTAAAGAGATACAGAATCATAGAATGGTTTGGGTTGGAAGGGACCTTCAAGACAACCTAGTCCCACACTCCTGCCATGGGCAAGGATATCTTCCACTAGACCAGGTTCCTCAGAGCCCCATCCAACCTGGTTTTGAGCATTCCAAAGGATGAGGCACCTGCAACTTCCCTGGACAGCTGTTCCAGTGCCTTACCATCCCCAGAGTAAGCAATTTTTTCTGTATATATAACCTAAATTTCCCTTCTTTCAGTTTGAACCCATCACTTCTTGTCCTATCACTACAGTTTGTGACAAAGACTCCCTATCCAGCTTCCCTGTAGGCCTCCTTCAGATACTAGAAGGTTGCTATGACATCTCCACACAACCTTCTCTTCTCCAGGCTGAACAGCCCCAACTCTCTCAGCCTTTCTTCGTAGCAGAGGTGCTCCAGTCACATTACCAACTTCGAGAGAAGGGCCTTTCTCTCGACTCCCTCCACCATTTCCATGTCCTTCTTACACTGGGGGTCCCAGAGCTGGACACTGTAATCCAAATGGGGTCTCATAAGAGCAGAAGAGAGGGGGAGAATTACCTCCATCGACTCGCTAGCCCCACTGCTTTTGATGCAGCCCAGCATAGAGAGTCAAAGTTGTTCAGGAATCAAGTTACTCTTGATGTTACTTTATTACTAGTATAAACAGAGTGACTTACAGTGACCATCGTTTGCCGTTAACACTCATAGTCAATGTCACACAGTGAAAAGGGTACAAATGCACAGAAATTGACAAATCGTCTAAATTTCTCAGGAAAAAAAAGGTAGAGAAGGACCTTCTGATAGGGAAAGAAAATGCCCTCTTGGCCACTTTCGAAATGGTGTTAAACAAAACCAGCGTGTTCATAGAGCAGCAGCCCCATCCTGCCACCTGCCGGGGTCCGTCCGGCCGCCCCGGGGTCGGGGGCAGCGGAGGGGGCGCAGCTCCGGCCCCGAGACCCGCACAAGGTCGCAGCGGAGGGACACGGGCGGCCCGAGTCCCACGCCATGGCCCCGCTGCGCCAGGGCCGGGCCCGCCGGAGCACGGGGAAGCGCTTACTCGTTTCCAGGGTCATCCTCAGCATCACCTGGCACCTGTTGTGGAAGGTGAAGAGGCTGCGGACCAGGAAGCTCTGCGGCTTCTTGTTCCGGTCTGGGAAGAGCCGATAGCCGAAGTCATCCTCCTCCACCGTCCCTTTCTTCTCGGCCGCCGGCGGCGAGTCACCCTCCCCGTGCTCCATGGCCCACCGTGCCGTCCCGCTCCCTGCCGGCCCCGTCCCAGCGGGACAGGGCACGGGGCACGGGGCACGGGGCACGGGGCACGGAGCTCCGGCCAGCGCCAATCGCCGCCCGCGCTCCCGGCACGTGGGCGGGGGCGGGCCCGGGCTCGCTCGGCTGCGCTGCATCCGGGGAGGGGCCTCGGCCGCGCGGGGCGGGCGGGGGCGGCGGGGAGAGGCGGCAGCCGAGGCGGCAGCCGGAGCGGGGCACCCGGAGCAGGTGAGGCCGGGGAGGGCAGGATGAGCAGCGGTGCCCGAGCCCCGCGGTGTCGCTACTCCGTGGTCCATTGGCGGCCCGGCGGAGCGAGGGGGAGCCCACCCTGATGGAGTCAGGGCCTCGCTGTAACTTGGGGGCGGTGCAGCGGCGCGCGTTGGGGATCCGGGGGGCTGCTCCGCCCCGGGGCCTCCTGCGGCACGGCCTGGGGAGCCGCTCCCGGCGGGCCCGCCCTGCCCCTGGTGCTGCCGGCCAGGACGTGCGGCTGCTGCCCCGCACAGCCGCGGGAACCGGGCGGCTCTCGGGTGCTGGGAAGGGCCCAGCTCTGAGAATCCAATAAAAGCGCCTTGAGAGGGTGTAAGAGCTGTGCTGGGAAGAGGCCACCGTCACGGTGCGGATGAAGGTTGTTGCTAAGTTGTGTACGGCTAGTGGGTAGCGGAGCAAACTTACATTATACACTAGAACGAAACAGCCAGAGAAGAAACAGCCAGATTTCATGCTAGATTTCTATGTGTTTAGTGGAAACTGTTTCAGTCAGTGATGGCAAAAGGAAAAGTTCAGCAAATCACAACGCATTTTCTCTCATCTTTTGGAGTATCTTATTCTAGCTGCCGTTGGCCAGGATATGTGTACTATCTCTGTAGTTTATTTATACTTACATGAGGCTTGTAACATTGATCCTGAAGCTTTCAGTCAAGAGATTACAGTTAGCAATCATTCATAATTCTTCTCTAAGTTTGTATTTAGCTCATCATGAATTACTTAGTCATGGTTGTTTTCAAAGCATGTTTGTTTCATCCTTTCAGTTTTTTGTGCTATGAACTGTACAAATATGGGGGGGGTTTGAATTGTAACCAAGATTTTTATTTGTAAGATTACTTTTTAATTGTTGCTTGATAATTTTTGATAATAAAACTTCCTCACTTAAGACAGTAAAATTAAGAGCAAAATTTATTATTAATTATTAAGTTTTAATATTATAATTAATTTTTAATTATTTATTAATTATTAAGTTTTCGAGACTTGCTGGCACTTTCAACTGGCACTTTTACCATTGACTTGTTGGGCACTTTACCTTACATTTAGTCAGGAAAGCATGACTTGTTTCTTATGATATACTTTGTTATATCTGAATAATGGCTTCCCTTCATATTTTCAATGACATTTAAATTGTGTTTCTTTTTGATCTCTTAGTATTTAACGTTCCTACTATGCTGTTGGGAAACCTGACTTGCATATAAGTCAGACTTTTTAATTTTGAAATAGTCAGCTTCTTTCTCTACATACTTATCAAATTCCTTTTTAGAAAGCCTTTTTCCACAATGAATGCACCGAATAAAACGATAGAAGTACAGCTGCAAATGAAGCAAAATGCTGAAGAGCTGCAGGATTTTGTGAGAGAATTGGAGAGCTGGGAAAAAGATATTAAAGAAGTGGATTCTGAACTAAGGAAGCAGAGTGGGGTCCCAGAAGAGGTAAAGATCACAAGACCAGTATCAACTTAGCTGTTCATAATGTGATAATGTTTGTAATAATTACATTTATAATAATTACATTTGTTGACTTAAAGTATCGGAATAGAAGGTGTGAACTAACCTAGCTGAAGTAGACCAAAGATTCCTCTGTAAACTGCTCCACCAACAGAACTGTGGGGTAGTAGCCTCTGGAGGTGATGAGGCCAGTAAATTTTTAGTCATTTTGGGGTATATTTATGAGAATATATCTGTGGCAGCATCAGTATCACTTATTTACTGCTGAGTTTTAATATATTGAAATTATTCTTCAGTTATACTCTGCATATTTGCTGTATATTGAAAGATTTATACTTGTCTGTAGTGGTTTTGTGGAGTTCAGGAGAACAGCTTGCTGGATGGATTTCTGAAATAAAACTAGTCAGTGGATACATACTGTATTTAAACATAGGTACTGTAGATACTTCAGTGCGAGTGACTTTCACGCATCTGTTTTATATTAAATTACTTAATTTAGAATTTACCACCAATTCGAAACAAGGCTTTTAAGAAAAAGAAGAAAAGCAAAAGTAAAGTCCCTTCAAAGATAACCTCTGAAGAAAACAAGAAAAACAAGATCAAGTCTTATGATTATGAAGCATGGGGAAAACTTGATGTGGTGAGTCAGAATATTTGATTTATTACCTGAGTCTTGTCCCCAGCTGATGCTGTGTTAAATAAAATTTTGTTATAGTCCTGAGAGTTCAGTCCACAAGTTGTTATCTAACTGTGGTGGGTACCATATGAACATATAAAGTAGCTATCTCCCAAAAAGGTTATGTGTTTAGTATTTGGAATATTGATAAATAGTTGGTTTTCTATTGACTGTGCTTTTTTCCAGCAGATTGAATTTGAGTTTAAGGAAAAAAATCTGTGTTAACAGTAGATCTATGAAAAGGTCATAATTCTAGTAGAATTTAAGATTAAACACAACTGTTAGTATTGGGATAGTTCTCTCTCTTTTGAAATGTGGAGTACTCCTTAGTAGAGAGAGGTAAAAATTTTTGAAAACATGTATATACTTTTCCTAAAACCTTACTTGTATTATTTTGCACTGTTGAATTATAACGAAGGTAATAAGTGGTTTGGGGTTTTTTCTGATTTCAGGATAAAATACTTGAAGAACTCGATAAAGAAGATAGTACTCATGATTCTGTATCTCCGGAATCAGACTCTGAAGAAGATGGAATTCGTATAGATGCAGAAAAGGCTCTTGCAGAGAAGGAAAAGGTTATAGCATTATAGATGTGTGTTATTGTCAGAGTAGCAATTTAGATGTAGGAGCATTCGTAGTTTGTTTTAAAAGATCATCCACTGAGACCACACATCTGGTGGAAGAATTGCCTGTCTGGAAGTTTTTACGTCTCTTTTCCTGCCTATTCCAAAATAGAAAATTCTCACTGCAGTTCTCTTTCTTCTCATCACAAATAGCAGCAAACCTGTCAGATTCTGATTAATGGATGCTTACGATGATAAATATATTGATGACATTTTGCTTTGAGAAGTTGAATTGCTGTATAGAATTGCCATATAGGTCAAACTGTTTTTTACCTGAACAAAACACCTGAGTGTCCCAAAATAAATCCTCAAAAATTTAGAGACGGTCCCTTTGTGAGGCCTCTACATCTGGGAATGATGGATGAACTTGTATGTCTCCTTTGCTTTAGTAATTTCAAGTTTGTACCAGTTCCATTTTACCTAATAAGGTGGGATACAGAGAGAGATCTATCTCATGATTCATTGCCATGAGAAATAGGCTAAGTTATGTAGCAACTTGTGTGGTTTTGGGAAAGTTCCTTGTTTGTAAACAATCACCTAGCCCATCTCTCAGTGCATGCTTTACTTCAGAAGAGTTTTAGTTTTGATTTGGTATTTCTGTAAGTTTTTTTGTGTTATTTTTTGGGGATTTTTTTGGTGTTCTTCTGTGGAAATTCCTAAACGTGTAACCTGCAGTCTGCACTGAGCAATTGAGGTGCCTTTTACCATTATCATCTTGACTGCAATGAAGTACTTGAGGGTACATGAGATAAAAGTTGTGTCCCAAAGGAGGGAGAAATGATAATAATTACCTTGGAAAGCAAAGGTGCCTAATCTAGTTACTAAAAACTTAAAAAAACCCAAATAAACAAAAATTCAGTAATTTAAGCAGCTGTGTATGTGCTTGTAATCAGTTTCTGGAAATGACCTACAGATACTGAAAATCAATATTTTGTAAAACCCTGTCATTGCATATATCATGGGAACTATTTAATGTGTGGGATGCTTTAGAATATATTAGTTTAAAAACACTTTTCACAGTAAAACAGTACTTCTTGAGAAATGTTTTTTTTCCCCACCAAAAATTAGCAACATGTCTGTGAATGTAAAGTAACTTGCTGAAAAGGCTTTTTTCTATTTGCAGGGTAATAACTACTTTAAACAAGGAAACTTTGATGAAGCTATAAAATGCTATACTAGAGGGATGCATTCTGATCCATACAATCCAGTATTGCCCACAAACAGAGCATCGGCTTTTTATAGAATGAGAAAGTAAGACTTGCATTGTGAAATCTGTAATGTTTTCTTACGTGAAATGCTACCTTTGGATTTTTTGTCTGGTTTTAAGTCTTGATTATATATCATGCTGTGATATAGTCTATGTAAAACTGCTGTTTCAACCTGCCTTTCAATTTCCAAGTAAAATAAGAATCACTAGGATAAGGAATCTAGTAGTCTCCCTCATCTATTTTTCCTCTGCTTTCATGCTAAAGTTCACTGTCTTCTATGTTAGAATGTAACACTTGAAGAAAAAAGAGGAAGTTCATCATCTAAATTGCCTTTCAGATTCAGTGAGCTCTTTTTCTAAGGCTTTGATTTTTTTGGGGGTAGAAAGGTTACAGAGGAGTTGACTTATTCTTTCTGTGGTAGTAGAGGCTGTTGACCTCTGTTTTCCTTGTTTTGATGTATTCCGAATCAAGAGATGTTTAAATATTTGTTCTGTGCCCCTTCTGAAGTATGTAAGATTTCCATTTTATCAAGAACTTGGGAAGGTTCAAAATAAGATAAATTGCTAAAGTTTTGTGTTTTTGTTACCTAGATGTGTCCAAACTATTCAGTCCTTTCTCTTTGATAGGTTTTCTGTTGCGGAATCTGATTGCAATTTAGCACTTGCTTTAGATAAAAATTACGTTAAGGCTTATGTGAGAAGAGGGGCCGCTCGCTTTGCTTTGAAAAATCTTCAAGGTGCTAAAGAAGGTGGGTCTTTTTAAAATTCTTTCCTTAGAATACATATAAGCTTGATTAGGGCTTGTGTGATCTGCTTATTTGAGGTAGGAATTTAATTTTTGTTTCCTATAAACAAAGAAATGAAATACCATGTTGCATATCCTTCTGGCAAGGTAAAGTTCAAGTAGCAAGTCCCAATGATTGCTGCAGATATTAGTAGTTCTAGAATAATTCAGCTTTAAATGTCTTAGAATGATGTATTCCTTGCAATATCTCAGGTTTCTTGAGTAACTACAGAAAAAAGATTATCTCAAAAGAATGCTCTTACTGATCTGTCCTTGCTACCTGAAACATATTTTTCTGGTCTTCTGATAGATTATGAAAAAGTTTTGGAGCTGGATGCAAATAATTTTGAAGCTAAAAATGAACTGAAGAAAATTGATCAGGTAATAAGTTTAATAGACTCTAGCATAAATTAATACACACTGTTCAGTCTATATCAATCTGTATTTATAACAGGAACTGATTCAACAAATTGTCATGCTTTCTATGGCATTTGAAGTTCATTGAAGTCAACATCTGTAATTGATTTACTTCTGGATAAACTAGCATATACGCAAACATCAGTGTAATAGTGAATCAGCAGACTAAGACTGTGTGTACACCATCTGGGGTTTTTTGTTTGGTTTTGGTTTTTTTGGTCACTTGGGGGTTTTTAATTTTCCCTCATTTTCTACTTCCAGTGTTAATGCTTCTTTCAGTCAAACTTGCTACAAGGTAGCACAACACGAGAGAACCTCTGTGTTCTCTTGGCCTTTAAAACTGGACAGCTAGCCTGCTTGTAGTCCCACTGATTGCTGTGGTCAGCCAAACTAGGAAGTTGTTTTGAGCAGAGCATAGTAGTCTACTGCCATTCTGATCCCTTTCATGACAGAGAGAGAATGTTGATAATGACGACTTACCAAATATAAGCTTACTTGTCAGTGCTGTATGAATATGCTTATACCTCTTCAACTGTATTTTTGAAAGTGCTTGAAAAGTTTGTTTTAGGAATGAAGACACAAAGTTTCCAGGAATTGAGGAAATAAATGATTTGTGAATTGGAGTATATACAAACAGGTTTCATGAGTCATTTTGCATTGTGCTTCAGAAATTACATGCTTTTTATTTACCAAATATTATTCTGACTCGCAGTCCCTCATAGAGATACATTTTCAAGAAACAATTTAAAATGGTCTGTTTAATTTGTATTCAATTTACAACACAGGCACTTGTGTTAAAAAGTTTGGCAGATGTTTGCATCTTAAAAGTTTAGAGTTTATTGTAATTTGTGTTCTGAAAATGTGTAAGTGGAGACATTATTACTGAGGGAAAAAATTCATCTTTGCAGGCTCTGTCATCAAAAGCAAGTTCAGAACAGAAAGAGTTTGAAGATGTCAGAACAGGATTAACAGACGGAGAGAAGCAGTGCATTGAAGAGCAGCAGCTCAAGCAGAAGGCTATTGCAGAAAAAGATCTGGTAAATCACAGGTTCTGGTGGAACAGGAGAGACCTAGTAAAGACAAGTGTTGTGTTGTGCTTATAGCTATGCAAATGTATAAATTAAACCTGATGCTGTCTTAAACTTCATAAATGCAGTGTCCTTGGCATAACCTTAATTGTGTCCCATTCTGGGCTCTGTAGGGAGGTGAGTGGGACAGTGAGTTCTGTTTGGATTCTTCTGGAGGAAGAAGTATGCAAGGTAGCTTTTATGGCCCAAATTGCATATGCTGAATTTCAAATATGTGGTAAGACAAGTAGAACCTGAACTGCACTTAACAAAGATCCCATTTCTCCATTATTATATGCATTTTGATCCTGACCCCTGCTTGTCTAAGTACAGTTGTGGATTATTTCTTGTGGTTTTAAACCTTTGATTGCATGATGAAAAGGAGTTATAAGACGGACTTTGGGGGTGCAGGCAACAATGACAAAAAAGCATATTTCTGGATACATAGTCTTAACTCAAAGTTGGCTTATTGATTTCTCCATCTCACCACTCTTTCAATTAAGAAATAACATTACCAACTAAATCACCAATTTTATATCTGTTCACTTACCCAGCTATGTAACTTCTGACTAGTTACCAATATTCAAAACTGTTACACTGGCTGTGAGAAGTAATTAGTAGGAAAAGAATGAAACCCTACATGAAGTAGGTAGAAGGAACAAGAGTTTTAATAGATCACATAACAGAAATTTCAGTCTAATGCAATACTTCATTGGTAGCAAAGTTGACTCACTGCAGGCCTATTCCTGGCAACATGGATCTTGTCAAGTCTGAACTATGGCCTTTCATTTTTTACCAGTGAGTAGAGTAGAAGCAGAGGAGATATGTGGCTTCATATTAGTACTGAGAAGCAAAAGATAGTTTTAGTCCCCCAAAAACAAACAAAAAAGTAATTTTCTTGTATAGAGCATTAATTACAAACCAACAACGTTTGTATTATATATCCCCAGGTAATATTTGGGAATAAGATTTGTGGATGTAGCAGGGTAAAGATGAATTCGTGCAGTGCAAAAGTCATGTTGAAAGGGGAATTGTAAAGGTTCAGCTCATGTTTAAATTCAGGAGTTGCAGGATGGCTTATCCTGCACATCAAGCATAAAGATAAATACAAGGTTGTAGATTTAAGTGTGCACTTAAACTCTTCATGCAGCAGATTTTTTTATCCTTGAAGTATTAGAAATAATTAAGATACCTTTTGTGTTCTATCTAGATATGAGGAAATATGCCATAAATATCTGGCTTGATATGGGTGTTTTTTGTGATCTGTACTTGTGATGTTGTGACCCTGTTTGCTAAAAGGATTCATTGCACTGGATCTTTCTTAATGCTCTTTTTTTTTCTGACCTAAATATTCCAGGGTAATGGTTATTTCAAAGAAGGAAGGTATGAGGCTGCAATAGAATGTTACACCCGTGGTATCGCAGCAGATGGCACTAATGCGCTGCTGCCAGCTAACAGAGCCATGGCCTACCTAAAGATTGAGAAGTAAGTGGAATTGCAAATGCTGTATTGTTTGTTTGATGTGAACTAGACAGAACAATGATCCAGTAGATTTTCATTCAAGTTCAGATATTGTCACTCCTTCTAATTCTTGTTACAATTCAGTCTAGAATAAATCATGTTGAAAGCAGTAAAGGAAAGGGAACAAATCTGTATGTGTGATCTTGCAATGCATTTTGTAGAAAAAAGTTCTGAGAAAATGAAATAGCACCAGTATGAAATTACAGCTTCTAAAGTTGGTTGTTTGTTCTTTTATATGTATAAAGTTCAGATATTCACCTTTCTGAAAGGAACTGCCTGAACCTTTGTCTTTTTTGACTATAAAACATGCTCAGCTACTAATGTTGCACTGTAAAAAGAAGTGGATTATAGCTTTTGACTTCAAAGAGAATGAATACAAGCTTTTTCTGGAAATTGTGATATTTTAAAATTTTTTTTTAAATTCACTAATGGAGACATGTATGTGTAGTTTGTTTATTTTTTAATTAAGCTTTATCCAGCTAACCCAGAAACAGTAGGAAATGCATGCTTTTTAGCAAATTAGATAAGTTTCATATGACCATTTTTGAAATCTGAAATTTTTTTGAGTTGCTGGTGGTGTGATAGTTTAAAACTTTCAAGATGGTAGCATGAGAAGCAGAGAGTTCAGTGTTGTGTTGGTCATGTGTTCTGTGACAAGGCTGGGTGTCTGTAAAGACAGTACATTGATCTCAAATTAGGATATTATAAAATAGGTTGCATGGCTGGTATTTTTGACACAACAATTATTATTTAAAGTATATCAGAATGCAAGTAATATTCTCTGAGATTCAGAGAAAGTGATACTTTAATTGAATTGCCAAGCAAGAAAATCGATTCTGTTTGATAAGTCTGTGTATCATGAGTCTTTACATTTGAAAGAGAATCAAACATAAAACAGAAGCTCATTGGTATTCATACAAACTGCTAGTATTGATAAGAACTGCAAATAAAAATTAATTTCTGTAAATTTAATGGTATTTTGAAGAAGAAGAGGAATGAATGAAAATATTTTAATGAGCACATAGTGGAATCATGATCTAATATAACTAAATACAAATGGGATGGAAAAATTTGATCTTAAAATAAACAAATAACACTAATGCAAGGATTTACTGAACTTCCCATTCTGAAATAGTTAAGGACAAGTCACAGAAGTTCAGATGTAGAAAAATTTATTCTCATGTTGGCTTGCTTCTCCTTCCTTGTACTTTGTAATGGTATTTCTGATTTTCAGAAGTACAAAGCCATGGTAGTGACTTTGATTTTAAGACTATTGAATGTTTAAAGTGAACTCTGCTCTGACAAGCTTTAAACATTTATTTTCACAGAGGAAGTGAATTTTTCTGTTACGAGATGCCATAAGATTTGACTCAAATTTCAAGGTGCTGAAAAATCATATTTTATGCTTTTTTTTTGTTTGTTTGGTTTTTTTGGGGTTTTTTTGTTTACATTGTAGCTCAGTGATATGTATATGTATGTAGGAAATTAGGATCTACCTTTATATTTTAATTGGTTTGGGTAGATCTGTGTTTTCAGTTGAAACTTCCTGTTGAAACTGATTATTAATTTTGTACTACTCTTTTGATGAGATATGAAGAGGCAGAAAATGACTGTACACAAGCTCTGCTCTTAGACGCCTCGTATTCTAAAGCTTTTGCCAGAAGAGGAGCTGCCAGAGTTGCTCTTGGAAAGCTAAAAGAAGCTATGCAAGGTATGACTTTAAATTAGACTAAATGTGACAGGTAATGAGATCAGTATAAGGACATGCTGATTTTTTTTACTCGGACTAATCAGTATTATCAGTGCAAAAAGGAAAAACTGAGGGATTTTGTTGGGTTTCACTGAACATGTATAAAAACTCTTGTGTTGATATCCATGTGTCGGCAAGACAGTTTTGTGTGAAATTACAATTGTTATTGTTTATGATAAATAGTAAAATAGTTTTGAAAAATTTGTTTAAAAAGGGGGTCATGGTATAAGCATTAGGATGACCTATGACTGGACTCTGAGGCAAATTGAGAACTGGATGAAAAGCAGATCCCAGAGGGTTATATCAGTGTCAGAGGCTCTAATTGGAAGCCTGTCACTAGTGGTATCCCCCAGAGTTCAGTACTGGGCCCAGTATTGTTTAACTTATTCATCAGTGACTTGGATGAAGGGGCAGACACCTCCTCAGCAAATTCCCTGGTGACATAAAGCTGGGAGGAGTGGCTGATATCCCAGAGTGCTGTCCTTCAGAAGGACCTCAGCAGGTTGGAGAGATGGGCGGAGAAGAACTGTCTGAAATTCAACAAAGTCAAATACAGGGTACTGCACCTGGGGAAGAATAACCCCATGCACCAGGGTAGTCTGGGGTCTGACCTGCTGGAAAGCAGCTCTGCAGAGAAAGACCTGGGGGTCTTGGTGGACAACAAACTGTCCATGAACCAGCAGTGTGCCCTTGTGGCCAGAAAGACCAGTGGTATCCCAGGGTGCATTAGTAAGAGCATTGCCAGTAGGCTGACGAAGTTGATCCTATCCTTCTCAGCCCTAGTGATGCCACATCTGGAGTACTGTGAACAGTTCTGGGCCCCTCAATATAAGAGAGACATGGAGCTCCTGGAGTAGGCGCAGTGGAGGGTGACAAATATGATTAAGGGACTGGAGCATCTCTTATGAGGAGAGGCTGAGGGAGTTGGGCTTGTTCAGCCTTGAAAAGAGATGTCTGAGAGGGGACCTCATCAGTGAGTGTATCTGAAGGGAGGATGTCAAGAGAATGGATCCAGAGTCTTCTTGGTGGTGCTGAATATTAGGACAAGAGGCAATGGACAGAAACTGAGGCACAGGAAGTTCCGCCTTAATATGAGGAAGAACTTCTTTACTGTGTGAGTGACTAGAACAGATTCCCCAGGGAGGTTGTGGAGTCTCCCTCACTTCAGGAACCATCTGGACACAATCCTGAGCCTTGTGCTCTAGGATGAACCTGCTTGAGCAGGGAAGTTGAACCAGAGGACCCACTGTGGTCCCTTCCAACCTTGCCCATTCTGTGATTCCGTGACTTACGTGCCTTTAATTAATTTTAGAGCTGTGAAAGGAAAATAGAAGGTTTAAGAATCTGCCATGAGTACACTGTAACTTGTAAAATCTACAGCTTATATGTTGTTTTTCACCCAGATTTTGAAGCTGTTCTGAAGCTGGAACCTGGAAATAAACAAGCAATGAACGAACTTGCTAAAATAAGGAATGTATGTATGCTTATGCAAGTTTGGTGGTTTTTTGTTTCTTTGGGAGTAATTGTTCATCAAACTTCTGATCTTTTGGATAACGTGCCAATTTTTTTTCAGGAATTAACTGAGAAAGAACAGCGAACTCATCAAGAATATCCTGCGGTATTGATAAAAGAAACAGAAATAAAAAATATAGTGAAACTGATTGATGACCCATTACAGATTAAAACAACAGTAAGTTGTTTTGTGAGTTGCTTTCTATAATGATGGGTAAAGTAGAGCTTAAAAATCTACTTCTTGTAGATTAACTCTTGGCTTGTGGAAAGCCAGAAATTGCTCTTGATATGTTTCAAGAACATACATGTACATGGAAATGCTGAAGTTAACAGCAGCAGTGGTGTAAGCATTCAAGCCTACAGTACCACCTTCAGAAAACATGATGTATGCATACTTTTATAATGTGAAATAGGGAGGCAACCCCACAGCCCTGTCCCGTGTCTATAGCTAACATTGCAGTTCAGAGGAAAAGGGAGGCAATTGAGTCTCTGTGTTTGATTGCAGGCTTGACAAAGCCCTGGGTAAACTTTCCTTCTTTTCTTCTGCTGTTTACAGTTTCTACAGCAGCACCATAGTGGTAATAAGACATTTTGCCTATGCTGCTGTCACGCAGAGCTACTGCAAGAGCTTTGAGCCTGCATTTTTATCCACATAAACTGTAGAACAGCAGGGTAGTGGTTTTCAATAAGCAATATTTTTTGACTATGAATTGTCAGTGGTTATAGATTAATGAGTTATATATGAAAAAATATGATAATACAGAGAGTAATACCAGCATTCTTTATGTATTAGGCTTCCTCTTTTAGTGCATTTAATCTTTATACATTAAGAAATGAGTTATGTAAGTGCAAAACTTACTCATGCTTTTGTTTGTATGTACTTATTCTGTGTAATGTTCTGCTTTTGATAATTTGAAAATATTTGCTTACCTTCATGAAATATATAATTTAGATGGATAGTTTTAGTAGAAAGTGGTTATTTTGATCCTTTGGGAGGGGGGATTATTATGTGCTCTCTATAATTAGATACAATATTTCTATAAATCATAATTAATTTATTTAAGGTCTGATGTACCTGAAGTATTACTGACAATTATATATATTAAGTGTTCAGGAGATACTAAACTGGTTGTATTTCTCTTGTTATTCTGTTAAAGTAGAAGTATAGATGAAAATCTGTGCTTTTAGTACTGCCCAACGATTGCAGAGAGAACTGAAATTTTATTTCGTATCTGCTAGTCAGCCACAGTGATGAGATGGTATTGGCTGTCAATACAGCAAGATGACAAGGGGCTTTTTTTACATGATTTAAAGCAGTCTGCAGACTGCAGTGAAGACTTAACAATGGGATCGTGTTAGCATTGGACACAGAAATCTGCCATTTCTTAAAAGTCTCAGTTGTTGAGTATGTTTAATCATGTGCATTTGCATCAGTATTTCTAGAGCAATACATGCTATTTGCATGTTCAGAAAATGAAATTCCAAAGCAAAAAGTGATGTTTTTTTTGTTTTGTTTTGTTTTGTTTTTTTTTAATGCAAGACCTGTGAAGGTGGTGCTAGGTGATGGCCAAAAATAATGATAATCATGTAGAGATTGAAGAGGCTGAAACCTTTTAGTTACTGTGTTCTCTAGTGGTGGAATTAATTACCTTTCAATATATGTAACTTGGTTAGTCAACAGAGTTGAGTTATAGAGATTTATTATGTCAACATTTTAAATTGTGGGTCAATGATTGTATTGCTGGATATTTTCTTGTCTTGCTAGATTACATACAAAGTGACTGCATCATTGGTCAAAGCATATGATAGATCTTGCCTGTTCAACCTTAGCAGGAAAAAAGGTGTCGATTTTTAATTATTATTATTTTAATTATTACTGTGAAAACACAATGCAGATTCTGAGATCCTCTAGAGTAAGTATATACTGGTTTATGAGGGAAAAGCAATAAAATTATCATATCAGGCTTCATGTAGAATTTAATCAAGTTTCCTTTTTTGCCATTTACCTTTATTGAAAGTGTCTTCTATGTGCACCACTACAGATGTAACTGATTATCATAAGATTATTTTAAATTATGATTAAATTTAACCTGTGTCAGGGGCCTGTATAAACACTTGTGTTGAGTCTGCATATGATATGTGCTATGCGTTCTGTTTAGAAGCCATTGCGAAGAATAGAAATTGAAGAAGTTGATGATGATGATACACCAGATGGGGACTTGCCCAGCACTACTTCTGTAGTCAATGACTGGAGGAATTCAGTGAGTGTTGAAAGAACAGAGACTCTAGATCAGGATGATCTCTTGGCTACAACAGATATTCCAAAAGCAAAGCACCTGAAAATAGAAGAAATCAGTGATACATCACCATTAAAGTAAGTATAATAATGATCCTCTTTTAAAAAGCAAAATGTAGTTGAAAGGTAATCTTCATTTCCAGATGTCTACATGTGGTGAGGTATCAAATACATTTTGGAGAATCTGAATTAAAAAGAAAATGTTGAAAGAAACTGCAGTTCTGGCACATCTACCTCTTTGATCGTGCAGTGGTTGAGTCAAGTGTGATCTATTTAGTGTCAGATGGAAAACTCACACTGAAAATAAAAATAGTCATAATGTTTTCCTGCATACCATACTCTCTCTTGCTTGTGCACTCCATCTTCCCTAGCTGTGATTTTTATTTGTAGTGGTTTAGAATAGATTTTTGGCAAAGTTCAAGTATTCTTTGCACACCAGTTGTGTGAGAGAAGAGGAGCAGATAAGTGTCAACACACTTTCCTCTGCTGAGCATTCAGCTAATAACTTCAGATTTACTCAGAGCTTCTAAGTTACATTGTGTTAGTTAGGCAAACTCAAATCTGGCTTGCTGAAACTACACTAAAGAATAGAAGGTTTCTCTTTGCTGAGGGTTGGAACTCTACTTGTTGTCCACTGCATTGATACTGTCTCATTTTGTTAATAGTAAATACTTTTTATGGAACCCTGATTGAAGAATTTATATGAGAAACACTTCCTCTTCACCCACCTTTTCCAGCTCAGTTAGATGGATTTACTGTGAAGTGTTGAAGAAAAAAGTATATTCTTAGCTATTTTATAATGTCTGAAAAATAAATGGACTTAAGTGACAACTTATAAGACAAAAAATAGATCCACTGCTATCAGTGTTGAAACCAGTTTGTTCATTTGACATGGTTATTGTTTTGCATTATGAAATTGCACAAAATGTTATTTTTTTAGTTATGTATTGGAGAAACATACCATAAAATGCAGGTATTTCCAGAAACAAGGAGAGGCTGAGTAAATTTAAGTATTTGCAGATGTGTTTGCAGTATTTCTTTTTAGAAAAGGTGAATCAAATATAAAACTTTTATAGATTAAAGAGATTTTTAAATATCTGCTTAAGCTAAAACACATTATTTTTAAAATAATTGTTAGTATTTTAACTTTTAATAAATAGATCTCCAGTAAGGTCTCAGTGTAGGATTTCCTTAAAAGTTTTCTTGATTATGTATTTCAAAATACCTTTGCAGGCTTCCTGTTAGCGTGAAAGGAATTTCATCAACATTGCATTCAGCTTCCCCTGCAAGCAAACAGAGAGAAAAAGATATCAGAAGGTCATTTATGTCTGCTTCTCCAGTTCCTGCTGTTCCTGCAAACTCTTTCCAGCTTGAGTCTGACTTCAGGAAGTTGAAAGACTGCCCAGAAAACATGTACTTGTACCTGAAGGTATGAAATGTAGAGTATCAACAGAACTATCAATAGTTCTTCAACTGATGCTGAAGAAACAGCACACTTAGGTGGAAGAGAGAGCTGTGTTTAGAATGTGTTAACAGTGTACAATAGCACCTTTTTTTTAATTGCCTTCACAAACAGTTTGGTCTACATCTGAGTATTTCTTCACTTGTGCCTGACTTTTCACTCACTTTGAGTGTATAATCTTTATTTTTCAATCATACACCCTTGTTCTTTAAAGACTTAAATACATTAGTAACCATTTTAAATTGTAATTTTTCAAGTGAATGCTTCTAGGGTAATTAGACATAGCAACAATTTTAAACTGAACAAATGCTTGAAACACAGCCAAAAACAACCCCAAAATTGATATTTAATGTCACATAGTGTCATGTGGGGTTCATTTGTTTTCATGCACTTCAGCATTGTCCAAGACATTCTTAAAATGGACATCTGATTCTCATGACTTAGTTGTATTTGTTTTGTCCAAAAATAACACTTTTTCAATTTTTCCTAAGCAAATAGAACCCTCGCTTTATGCAAAGCTGTTTCAGAAATCCTTAGATCCAGATTTGTTTAACCAGATACTGAAAATTCTACATGATTTCTACATTGAGTAAGTTTAACTCCTCCTTTGTTTTACATTCCTTATTGCTATTCTGAGGGGTTTGGGGGTTTATTTTTTTATTTGACAGGAGGGAGGTTGGTTTTTTATTGTGTGCTTGTTTGTGGTCTTTTTCTCTCTAGTCCCAACCTCAGGCATACAAAATTACTTCCAGGACATAACATTACATGAACATAATATAGTAATTGGAATGACTCAATTGTTCCTTCATAAGAAATGAAACTTATCTTGAAAAATCAGATAGAAAAGAAGTGAAGAAACATTTTTTTACTGTGGGCTGTTAAATTCTTCTAAGGAGGAGGAGAAAGTAGCATTAGACTGCATGAAATAACTTTTATTGCTGTGTGTATTCTGTTATCACATATAATTGCACATTGTCTTCTATTTTAACTTTCTAAAACTGAGAAATTCAGAGAGGTTTGGTTTTATGCCATGCTTATTGTGATGCACTGAGACTTCTAATTATGTGCTAGCATTTTACAGTAGCCTGTGGTAAATCTGTGTTGGAGACTGAAGTTCTGATAAGACAGGACCTGACAAATTATTTTTGAAATTTCTATCCACACTACCATTTGAGTGCTAAAGTTCATTTTGCCTGTCAGAGGCAGTGTGCTGCTTCTCTGAATTAGTTTTTCTGAGAGCACACACTAGAAATGTTTTTAGGGCATTGTTTTATGTAGAAGAGCAAACATAAATCAATGTTTGCCTTTCCTTTGGTTTCCTTAAAAGTCAAATATCTGTCATATGGATGAAAAATGCTGTCTTCAGACATACTGTCCTGCATTTGGTGGTATGACATATAAAGGGTAGGAAGTTGAAATTGTTTGCTGTGAGGTAAAAGTTCTGTCTCCCTTCTGAAGAAGTGTGAAGTTATGGAAGAAAAATACTGTTTGTTCGTGTCTGTAACAAAGACAGTGTCTGTTTACTATTGACCAGAAGAATGTAAAATGAACACAATCTAGAAATTTTCTGTATGGATAAAAATATAGGCAACTGTAGTTGGCTCAGCTTTTTGCTGAGTTTCTTGTGGCCACAGGTGCTTCTTCCTTTCACGCTACCCCAGTATGTACAGAAATGATGATGTTATGGCCAGGTGTAAGCACTAAATCATGTAATAGGCAATTTGTACAGGACCAGCAGTCAGTTTGCATCACTCTAGGTTTTTATATTGCTTCCCTTTCGCTCTGTAGAAGAATCATACTTACATAACGGTTTCTGGATATTGACTTTTTGTACTGTGAATGGAAGAATGAATAGGAAAGACAAGAAAGGTACAGAATAGGAGAAACAGAGAAGGGAATTCTATTTTATTGGTCCTCTAATTTCTTCTTCCTGAGTTCTTTAATATTGCTTGCAGTTACTAATCTTTCTCATCAACAGATCAACAGTAGCTATTTTTATATTTTTAATAATCTTCTTCAGGAAAGAGGAGCCATCACTCATCCTTGAAATCCTCCAAAGGCTCTCTGAATTAAAAAGATTTGACATGGCAGTAATGTTTATGTCAGGCTCAGAGAAAAAAAGTAAGTAATCTGGTAGTGCTTTTTAAAACTCATTTTGTGATACTCTAGAGTCTAACAAAAAATATGTAAAATTTAATACTATTCTTGTTTATTCCATATAATAATCAGTTTAGTTGTCTAGCTTTTTGATTATTCTAGAAGTTAATATGAATGTCATGTAGCTTTTCTTAATCCTTTGATTCCATATTTATTATTTAGATTTGGAAACTATAGCTAAATCCTGTTATTTTAATCAGTAATACCACTGCATTTTATTCTGATAAGCTTCACTAGCATGTCAGTTTCTAGCTGGTAATGTAAAATATTTATGAATTTGTATGAAATCTTGTGTCTGAGATAACAGGTATCCCGATTACACAGTTTCCGCAATTTACAACTATTTCTTGACAAATCCTGACTTTTCTATTGGCAAAAGAATGTAGATGTCTCTAAACCACTCAACCTGGTTTTTGGTCCTGTTCTTGAGGCATCAGTTATTTTAGTTTGCAATTCAAGTTGACATTGGCTTGAATTTATGGTTTATAAAAGTGGGGTTTATATCACACTTTTTATTTATTTAGCACACCAGACAGACTATGTAATAGTGAGATACTTAAAAGCAAAACATTTATCTGGGACCAAGTAATGTTAAATTTACTATCTATAGCTGAGTTTCACTAATAACCATTATACTTTCAAAATATTAATTTGTGAATTTTGTTAAAATAACGTATTTAAGTGCAAGTAAATTCCTCTTACAAATTGCTTTCACGCCTTTAACCTTATGTAAGCTTTATCTGCCATCTGGCATTAACTTTTATCTTCTGCATTTAATGGCATAGTGTCAAGATAGTAAACAAAATAAAAGCTCTCTGTTGTCAGGATTATACACTGTTTAAGGAAATGTTGTTAGGCAGCTCCTGGGTGTCAAAACAAAGTGAGAATTTCCTTTTACTGCTTTTTTCCGTCCTTAGTAGTTCTAAAAATGTATTCATACTTCAGCTGTATAATCCATAGACCACTTTCTCTCACTGGGGAAATAATTGGACTAATTTACTTTAAGAGCATGAATCAAAAAAATAACCATTCATGTTGGGATTTTCTTTTACAGTTACACAGGTATTATTCAATCATGTGAACCACATGGGATTAAAAGATGCTTCTGTTGAAGAATTGAAGAAGAAATATGGCATTTTCTCTTAGTAAGATGACTGACGTGTAAATTTCCATTTCTTCACTTTTTTCATGTGGAAATCAGTTAAGAAATGTAAAAAGACTGGAATTTTGTTGCTTTTTATAAATGAAACTCTTAAACTTGGTTTAACCAAATGGTAAGTGCCTGAAGAGAGAATTATTTAGTTCTGCAGGTACAGTTGCAACAATACAGTTGAAACAATACAATTGAAACAGTACAGATATACGTTTTCTTCAGCAGCATCTCTTTACCTGAGAAACAGTTGAGCAAATTGGCATTCAGGATTTGGACTGTAGATAGAGATCTTTATTAAAAAGAAAAAAAATTATAAACATGTCTTTGGTAAGAATCAAATGTTGTATATTAGAAATGTGCATGTTTTTTTATTTTAGAAAATAAAAAATGTTGAACTGAAGATACTGCATTTCTAAGAAGTTTTTTTATTAAGGTGCCTAAATCACTCTTCTCTAAAGATCACATCAGAACTTGTACTGCAGAAAATGAACCTGAGTTATGATGGCAAAAAAATTTCAAAATTTTTACTTGATTTTACCTAAAAGTAGAGCTTTAGCATTGGCAGCTGAGAACCTCGAAACTTGAACTGTGATTGCAGAATAGAAGGAAGACAAATATTGTAGAATTAAACTAAAAGTTTAATGAAAAACACTTGTCTTCTTTCAAGAGTACTTTTAAAATAATCTGTTAAAGTTTACCTTTTGGGTCAGTTGTTCCTAACCAGGTAAATCCCTTAAGATGACTCAGAAGGCTAAGCAAAATACCTCTCCACTATGAAGAATGCAAAAGCATGAAATTACCTGAAATTCCTAAATAAGAGAGAGCAGTAATAAACTGTTTGTACTGTTCACATGACCAGAAGGAGGAAATAATAGCACTTTTCAAGTATTCTGTAAGATTTAACTTTAGTATCCAAGTGGTGGTATCTAAAAATTTGCCTGTGTCTCTAGGTTTAACTGCAGGCTCTTCTGTCCCGCAGATATCTGCCAGTTTACTTTCATCCTGATTCAGCCCTTTTGCTGTACTGATGCTTCTCTGACTGTGGAAGCTTTTTGATATTAATGCTTTTTTGGTAGTTGTGCTGTTTTTCAGAAAAATGATTAAACAGCTACAGTTGAGTTCAAAAAGATTTCAATTTTAAAACATAAGAGCTGTGTTATGTCCTAGTTCAGATATAATCCACTTAAAAATGTAACTGAGCTAAATCCTTGGGCTTGGTAGCAATTGACAGGAGCAGTACTGACACTCAGCCCTTAAGATAGTTTCCAGTTAGTCCTGGAACTGAGAACGAGAATAGGCAGTGTTATTGGGGAAATGGAAGAGCCTTTACATAACACTGCTTGCAGATTACCTACAATATGAATTGTTATTTCTGGGTGTGTCCCAAGTTACTGATAACGGGCTATTTATTCCCCTTATTGTAAAGCACATTAAAGAAGGTATCGGGGATAGTACTGTAACTAACAGACACCATGCCAGGGAATAAGAGGGGTAGTGGAGTACTTAGGATAATTTTATAGTATAGATTTTGTAGATAGAGTGTACCTTCCTATGCACTGTTACAGGTTGTTCAGTGTAGAGCTGACTAGGTTATACTAATAGAGCATTTGGTACATTCTCAAAAGCTGCTTTTTGAAGGCTGATGGATGAAAACAAGTGATTGGAACAGGGACCTTCAAAAGTAAAAGCAAGACAAAAGCAGAAAGATTTGAAAACTGTAGGCCATGAGTCACCTAGAACTCCACTTCATGCAATGCGCTATGCTTTTAATGAGAATAAGCTGTCATGGTTGGTTTCTGGTCCCACTGCTACTTTTACAGAGATTTCTGTTCAGGATTTGTGCATGTTGAGGAGGGCTGATGAAAAGGAAGCTGTTCAAGCATGTAGAATTTGGTGGAGTGGATGAATAGGCCTGCTACTGAACCTAGGCCAGAAGATTTATCTTGCAAGTCATATGCTACTGTAGCCTTTTCCTTTTTATTTCTAAATGCGACATCTGATGGTGACTTGTTAAGTCCCCAAAGTTACTTTTCAGTACATAAAAAGCAATGCAAGACAGAGAGCAGAATGCAGGCATTTGGAGAACTCCCAGCTTCACCTGCTCCAGGAGATGGCAGTGTTTTTCCCTTCTAAATTGTTAAAGATTGCCAGATCTCTGAATTGGAAAGTTTAATGAAACATGGAGAAGATTGATAGATTTGAAGTAAGTCAGGAATCCCTTTTAAGGAGAGAAGTGGATTTTTTTTTCCTCTCTTTTTTTTTTTTTTTTTTAATCCAACATGCTCTACACTGGTTGTATTGCTATTGTGTCAGGAAAAAAAAAGTAATGCAAATAGTGTGAGGCAGTTAAAACAGAGTAGAATACTTATAACCCTTTGCTATCTTGCACCATTCAAGGTATCAAAAATCTGAGGTCGTTTGCTGCAGTGATGGATTCAGGCTTGAGTTTTGAATGATTCCTTATCAGTATTAAATGCTATGTTTTTCTAGACAACCTTTTAACTTGTCAAGAGCACTTTTTAAATTTGAATATTGTCCTCCAGTAGATCCAGGAGACACTCAGACTCATATTGTCCTATTGATTTCATAATCCAGGTTGTTAGAATATTGATGGAACATATCCTAGGGCATACTTCTACAGAACATCCTTTTGATGTTCCCTTTTGACAGTAGACTGTGACTTTTTTTCTTTTCCAATAACTCTAGCTCTGCATTCATAAAGTAATAGTTTAATCTGAGCTGTGTTTGTCTTGCTTATCAGAACGTCCTGTGACAGTCACATGTCAAGATAAGATACTTGATTTACTGCTTTTTTTTACACTACCATGAAGAAAGGATTTTAATGTAACTTGTTCTTGGCAGACTTGTCAGTTATTGTGGAAAGCATAGATGAATATAGTTTGAGTACTTGTTAAAAAACTTTCAGGATTAAAAATTAATGGTTGTGACTCTGCTCAAGACGTTTTTGCTGATTCTCTTCTTCCCTGTTCTTCTGTTTGAAAATAGACAATTCAGCTTGCCAATGCTCACATCAACTACTACAACTGATTTTGAGGCTACTTTTAAAATAATTTTATTAATATAAATTTATATTTATATATTTTATAATTTTAATATTAATATGAGGTTAGCATACCCATTTTTAACATAGATTATAAGTGTTTGGGGTCCTGTGAACATCAAAATTCAGGAAACTTATGTTCTAACTTACTAGGCAGAGATCTTTCTTTGTCAGTTATGTGGATACAGTTGCTTGTAGTTGCCATCACTAGGGAATACTGAAGTGGAAACAGATATTGAACAGTTCATTACTTATGTCATCAGCTGTCAGTTGTTTTTCTTTTATCTTGCATAACTAACACTTCCCCTGTTTTTTTTCTTTTAATGCTGGTGCACTGACAGAGCAGTTTCTTCTTACTCCTGTCAACTGATGCTCATTTTGTTTTCTTCCTTTGGTTCTATGTTTTCTTGTCACTCTTACTTCATAATTCTTAAACAATCTGTCCTCATTTCCATTACTTACACGCTTTTCTCTTTTGAGATCACTGAAGAGCTCTTTGGTCAGGTTAGTCCATTTTTACCCTTGCTGTCCTCTCTCTATTGCCACAATTTGAGCTTGTTAGCTTGTTATCATTTATTTAGTAACTGTCAACTCTATTGTACCTTCTCCAGCCTTTATATTTTCTTACCATGAAACCTTAATGAGCAGTACTACAACAGAGGAAGTAGAGAATAGACAAAGTGCATGAAGCTTTCAAAGTTGTATTTAGATGCTGTGATGGCTAAGCAGCTTGAGGTTGCTCTACTGTCAGTATTAGAATCTTAAGAGTGTGAAGCATTAAATATACATCCTCTTTTCCTTCACCTATGTCCCAGCTGGTTGCAATTGTAAGGCATGAGGCTCTGCCAGTCTCTTCTGCTGGTAGGTTTTTTCATTTGTTTGTTTTCAGTAAATTGGTGCTTTTCTAGGAATAGCGGTAAGGGTTTTAAGAAAGCATAGGGCTGCACACTTACTGACTTCCACTTCTCCCCAGATAAGATTAACCCCGCAAGTTTCTTTTGTAGCAGTTGTCAATCAGACTCTTCTTTCGCAGATCATAAGAGAGCAAATAGTGTTTTGAATTGCATTGTATCACTACTGCTTTTTCATGATGCTTTTGTAACTTCCCTAAGGTTTATTTCTAAGGGTTGTGTTATTCAGAAGACAGCATGACCCTGCAAAATCCCATGTTACTGATTATCCTTGAGAAAGCAGGAAATGAGCGGAACATGTTCTCAGGAACATGTTCTAAGCTTGAATCTAGTCTTCATGGCAGGTGCAAGTCTGCCAGATGACCTGGAATTGCAGTAGTGATTTATCTGACCTTATTTTCTTTGCTGGTTAGGCTTAGGGAAGGTACAAGTTTTAGAATAAAAGGTGAAATTGTAGTTTTCACTGTGGTCACATCTCTTAAACATGCAGTTCAGACTGATTGAAGCAATAAAGCTGTGTGGGTTTTCTGCAGCGGTCTCTTCTTTTTTTTTTTTTTGGTAGTATTTCACATAAACCATTTGCATCAGATCTTTCTTGTTATATCTGTCACTATGTGCTGATTCCCTCTTTCTGAATTTAAATCTTCATTTTCACTGTACCCTTTCTGTTTTCCATCAGGTTCAAAACGTTGTATTCTCTACTGCCTTCCTTCTCTTGTCATTAGTTGCAAGCAATTCAGTCTCTAAAAATGGCATCTGAAGGCCTCTTAATGTTTAAAAATTTCTGTCGAAAGCTTTTTCTTTCTAAAAGCTCCTTCTAATAACCTTGCTTCTTCTGGCTCCATTTTTGTATATTCTATACAAATGATTGCTGACTTCAGTTGGGGTTGGATGCTCTGAAATCTTTTGCTTTCTTAATAGTAGCAGAAAGTAATATTTGTTTTCCAGTCTTCATCTTCAAACTTCAGGCTTTCCAATCTCTCTTCTGACGGGTGCTGCATAAGGTGACAAAATAAAACATAAACGTGATTCCTTGTCCTTTCATACCAAGTATGTCTAACTGGGTTTTAAAGCAAGAAATGTACCATTGGGCATAAATACCATTAGATTAGCCAACAACTGAATATACAAAAGTCGTCCTTGTCCTTATGCCTGATAAGACAGATCAGTGTTCTATAGGAACTATTGAAGTCCTGGTTTTTGGCCCCTTACTTGAACAGGTCTTCCATAATGTGCTGAGCAGCAGGTCAGAGTCTAAGTGAGGAGACGCACAAAAACCCCTGTGAGAGACTGAAATGTTAATGGTTAAGGACATTTGCAAAAACAGCAAGTGCTTTGCTGAGGCCAGGTTTACACCAGCCACCCCAACTACGGGGGGAAGAGGAGAATTTTTGTATGGGCAAAAGGTGTGATCCACATAAGACAGAG